TTCTTTTCTTTTTCTCTTAAAACTTCAGTGAATAACAGTGTTGAGCCTTACAGAGTATCTGGATGGTGCTATATGTACAGGTGAGAAATAAAAAACAAAATGACCAAACCATACAAACTACAGTTAAGTAGCATATGTTAGAGAGACAAATACCAGTTTCCAGAAAATGTGGCAATGGTCAGAGGTTGTGAAGGTTATGGTGTGTTGACCAAGAAACCCATAGCCCTGGGGAGTCAGAAAATGCCTCACCAAGAAGGTGTCATGCAGATGCGATCCTGGAGGATGAGGAGTCACCAGTTAGAAAGTGGTTAAGGGGTCTGATACAGAGACATGAGCATGTGAGATGATGCCAAGATGGAAGTGAAAGCAGCAGGGTATGCGTGTGAGCAGCAGATGACATTCAGGAGCTTCCTGAGGTGGTGAGGTGAGGTGGTGAGGTGGAAGATCTGTCTGAGGTGAAGATACTGAGGCAGGGTGTCTTATCAATCTGAGATTTGTGCTGACAGCCAGTAGTGTTTTAATAGGCCACGTGTCATTAGAGCTGAGAGGGGACTGAACTAGGACAGAGTAGAGGGCCCATCACAGGATAGAGAAGGATGGGTTTGCCAGACACTTAGGAGAAGGAGGTGACACTTTACCAGTGAAAGAGAAGGAAATGAATCAGGGGGTATATGCTGAGCTCTATTTGAACATGCATTCATTAGTCATTGAAGGGAAACTGCCCAGGAAGGCAGTTAAAGCTTTATTTACAGATCCAAAGAGGATGAAGTCTGGGTATTTGGAGCCAGAAGTCACCTGAGAGCAGGTAACATTTAGAACCAAGAGAGTGGCTGAGAGATTGGGGCAAGACCTGTGTGGACAGATGCCGTAGTCAGGAGTGAAGAGACACCGAAGTTGCTGCATGAGGCTAGATGAACTTCATTTCTTTAGATCAGGAGCCCATGGAACCCTGGGACATGTTCTGGAGAATCTAAAATAGTAGGCTTTTTATGTAGTTTCATGCTGGCACAAAAGCTACAGCCTTTACCAGATTCTCAAAGGGACTGGAGACAAGAAAGGGTTAAGATCCATGTATCAATTGTCATCAATTAATTACATATACTATAGTACTTAGGATTTGTACAGAACTGAAGAAGACATTGGTTCTGTCACAGAAATATGCCTCAAATAATGATTTGGTCTTACTCAATGGTTTGCAGGGGAGGGGGAGGAAGATTCTAGGTTCTGCCAACTTTAAGAGAGGAGAAAGTATTTGGTTAGGTTCATGGTTTTGTTAGAAATGCTTGCCTTCTGTTCAAATCTGCACAAAAGCAATCTTCAATCAAACATGTGTTTGATCATTAGCAGAGGTTATTTTACTATGAGGCAAAGAACTACCACCCTTGTCAATCTGAATGATACATATAATCCAGTCCTTTTCTGTGATCACTGTCCCACTACTGTCGTCACCTACTACCTCCGGCTTTGTGTCACATTTGAAATCTGACCCAAGTTTCTCGGTTGACCATAACAGCACATAGGCAATCCTTTCTTCATAAAAACCTTCCCCACATAAAAGAGCTGCTATTGACAGTTATTTTCTCTCACGGAATCTGAGTAGTTTCTAAAATCGCCAAGTCACACATCTAATGAAGTCCCAGAATCTCAGATACATAATGAATTCTTGCAACTCAAAAAGACCCAGTTTCAATATGAGCAAAGGATTTAAACAGGCATCTTTCAAAGGAGATGAACAAGTGAGTGATAAACACTCACTCAAAAGGTATTTGGCATCACTTTCTTCAGCCATGAGTGACTGACAGATCTAAACAGCAATGAGATACTACCCTAGTGCCATAGGGTGGCTCATTTTAAAAACAAAACAGGGGTCTGGCTAGATTGAGCAGAGTAGAATGCATGCTGCTCTTACAGAGGACCAAGCTCAGTTCTCAGCACCCATGTTAGGCAGTCCACAACTACCTGTAACTCCAGCTCCAGGGATCCAACAAGCTCTTCTGGCCTATGCAAGCCACTGCACTTACATTCACACACACAATTATAAATAAGATAAATCTTTAAAAAAAAAAAAAACCATGAGGAATTAGAGAAACTGGTGTCTTCACACATGACTGGTAGGAATCCAAGCTGGTGCAGCCACTGTGAAAAAGAATTTGGCAGTTTCTCAAAAAGTTAAAGATAGAGTTGCCCTGTGATCCAGAAATGCTACTCCTAGCTCTGTCCCCAAGAGAACTGAAAACATATGTTCCAAAAACAACTCAGTACCACAGAAGCTTTAAAGGCATAAAACACAAATGTTAGGTTGTGGCGAGCAAAACGCGCTACACAGACGATGAAATAGTATTCAGCTATAAAAAAGAATGAAGCATTGCTACCTTACCGACCTTGAAAACAACTATGCTACTTGAAAAACCCCTGCAATATTGAGAGATTTGATTTACATGAAAATTTCAGGACAAAGCCATACAGGCAGAAAGCAGATTAGGGGTTTCAGGTAACGGGAGAAGAGATGGTAATTAGGAAGCACAGACTGATCTGCAAGGTGATGAGAACGGTCTAGAATCAGTAGCGGCCTTCACACAGCACCCTTGATGCATTAAAGCCACTGGCAGGCACACACTAAAGTACTTGTGATGGAGGTGCACCTTGTACATGAACTTTACCTCAACTTAAAAACCTGACACAAAATGGACAGGTGAATGATGCCAAGTGGCCCTGGAAATAATCCTAGGATTCATCAGCTTTTTTGTACACTGCTCATCTGTGAAGAAGCTCAGCTACGCTCACGCAGGCCAAGGCTTCCCGATGACTCTAATGTCAACAATGTTAACTCTAAGCCAGTTAAGCACAAAGGGCAATGTAACCCTCTTTTCACAGAGACCTGAAAACACAAGCAATGCTGCTGTGCGTTGGCCTCATGAATACATTTCTGAAACTGGGGGTGGAGGTGGGGTGAAAAGTCAGGGCATTCCGGTGGACACTCATCACACTCCTTAGAGGCTTTTCGAATTTAAAACTTTGCCAGTTCAGTAGCCTGAGATAGCCCAAGAGCCCAAGTTTCCTGCTTCTTTTTCTCTAGGCTGTGTTTCTTCCAGCAACGAAGCAAATATTTGCTCCTGGTGGCAACTTGTGACTCTGGTAGTGTCCGCTTTTCTTTAGCAAAAAATTGCTTAACTTTGTAGTGATACTTGGAACCCTGGCTACAATCAGTTACCATTGTGTGGGATCTTCCTGCGGATTCCCAGGAAGGCTGGCTGCATTTCTGTTTGTCTTCCTATGAGCCAGCAGAGGAATCTGAGTGATGAAGTGGAGGGCAACCACCTTTTAAATGGAGCTTGATGATAGCAGTAAATATTATAATTACAACCAAAACACTATGTTGGGCCAGGTGGGGGTAGCACATGTTTTTAATCCCAGCAACTCAGGAGGCAGAGGCGGGAGGATCTCAGAGTTTGAAGCCAGCCTGGTCTATAGAGCAAATTCCAGAACAGCCAAAAGTACACAGAGAAATCCTGTCTTGAAAAAAAACAAAGATAGATAGATAGATAGATAGATAGATAGATAGATAGATAGATAGATAGATAGATAGATAAGATAAGATAGACAGACACATAGAATTAAAATATGTTGGTTATTGGATAACCATGATGTGGTTTGGAAAACAGTGAATGTAGGATTGCTTTAGAAGCAATTTGCACTGGCCTTGTGAATGCCCATCACTCTTTCTAATTCTTTATCTTTTCCGTTTTCTTTCCCTTTCTCTTTCCCCCCTTCTTCCCTCTCTTTCTTTCTCTCTTGTGTACCTTCTTCTCTTTTCAATACTGGAGGGCTGAACCCAGAGCTCCCAAATCCAGGTAGGCACTCTGTCCCTGAGCTACACCCCAGGTTCCTGTTAGTTCTTCAAAGGCTTTCTCCCCGAACACTGTTTTGACATGTGGCTTCACCATAGACAGTTTCCAAGGGATGGGCAGGAACAGACATAACCCCTGGGTCCAGTATGAAGTAAACAGACATCACCTCTCACAGAAAAATGATTGCCCATTTCAAGGCCACACCAAAACACAAACCCAGAAGCTTTGGAACTTGCACACCGACGATCTAGGAGGTCTATCATTCTGAAGTCTTTCTGGGAGCAGGGTCAAGTTGCCGTACCTTCTAGAACCTTCCCTCCCTTTGAGGCACTAGGCTAGCCATCCTCATTTTTCACCTGATTGAGTCTTAAGCTTTGATGCCCTGGCTTAATACATCTTTCATTTTCTATGGAGAACAGAGTGCCACATCCTCAGGGCAGGCATGAGTGGCACAAGAACCATGTGATGAGTTAAATACAGTTGCTGGGGTCATCGGGAAGGGAGCCTAAGCAGCCACGCTGACTCCCAACTCTAGCCCAACACTTTGCTCCAGCTCTGTTTATTAGCTGTCTCCTCAGCACATCAGTGGCAGGGGTGATGAAATCGGTGGCAGATTTCACCGTCAGGCAGCTGGGTCACTGTCCCCTGGGTCTTGTTGTCATGCTGCGGTCTTAAAGTGACCACGGCTGCCTGGATTGCTACCTTCAAACAGGCTGGCAGACCACTGAATAGTTAACTGGTGGAAGAGAAGGACCAGGGCTGTTGCTTGCAGAAAACACTCAGAGAAGCAGCTTTGAAAAATCCCAAGGTGGCTGAGTATCAAGAACATGGCCCCTGGTGTGGGCAGCTGTGAGTGCAAGGGTCAGCCTGAGGGCTGAAAATCAAATCTCCAGCCTGGGCTGGTGCCTATCCCATGAGGCTCTGCCAGTAGAGGCACCAAAAAAAAAAAAAAAAAAAAAAAAAAAAAAAAAAAAAAAAAAAAAAAAGCCTAAACATTACAAAATGAAAAAAGCCTCCATCTTGGTAGAAGAAGGCTATCATTGATGATACCTTTTGTATAGCTAACACTATCAGTGAGGGATGGATTTGGGGGGGAAAGAGAGAGAAAACAGGGTGACTTATTTAATAGGTGTGATCCTCAGGGCCCCTTACCTGGAACCGTCTCATGTCCCTTGGGTTTCCCGCTGTTTTCAAACAATTCTGATTGCACTTCAGGAAAAATTTTAAAAAGAATCTGTGAAGAGAAAGCAACGTGTTACTTCTTTTTCCCAGTAAACATTTTTTTTTTTTTTAACGAGAAGGCTCTATCTGTGTTCTATTAGATTTGATTTGAGAAAAAAAAAAAAAGATAGGCGATTGTGTTTCAGGTCTGGGGAATTTCAAGCAGCCATGCCTGGGAGAGGACTGCTACTGACCCTCTGCAATTTGCAAATTTGGATGTTTTCAATGGCCAGCTCAGAGACCCCTTTCTCCACCACGGTGGGGGACTGTTAAGCGGTTCACAATCTGGGCTCTGGTCCTCACACCCACCCGCCTTCCGCCTGCAGAAGAGGGCTCCGAAGGCTGCAGTGACCCCTGCTGTACAGAAAGAATCGTTCTAGGGTAGAAATGCCAGGACAAGGCCCAGAACCCAGGACTCCTCAGGTCTTGTCTTTCTTGGCCACACAATACCCTCATGCTCACATCTGAAGGTGGTCTCAGGGTTCCCCATGACCATGTGCAGAAATAATAAAATAATACACAATTATCTAAAGCTTAAGTCCACAAGGCAAGGATACCTCAGGCCTTTATGATTAATAGCAAATAGGAACAACCTCTCCGTCCCTCTAGAGACAACACAGAGAAACACAAATCATGATCTGTGCTTATTGTTTGTAAGACATGATTTTTCTCTTTTGAAGCCCACATTCCCTCAAACAATCGGTGTCATTTCAGAACTGGCCATCTCAACTCAGGCAGTCACACCAACCAAGAAAAATGACAAAAGGAACCTTTGCGGCAATTTGCCTCTTTTCCTATTTTAAGATTTTGTTTCAAAATATAATAAGTTTTTCATTTATTTCACTTGCACAGTCCTTTTCCTTAAAAAAAAAGAAAAAAAAATCCAGCTTTTGCAGTGTTGAAGTCCCAGGTGAGCTAGGCCTATTTCCCTTTCTGTTACTATGACAACGAAATTTTACCGCAGTCCCAAGGTCCCTTCAGAACTCTCGCATCTACGCCTTGAATTAGAACTTTAAAGGCAAAGATATACATTTTCCTCTGGATTTACCAATAAAAATAAGTAGAAATGAACCAGTCTTAGGAAAATTCTATTTTAAAAGCACTGGTTGGTGAGAGGATCTCACCACGACCTGCTGCTTGGTTTTTTTTTTTTCTAACAACCACACAAAAGAAAGAACTCCAATTATCTGTATGTTTCACTAAAAAAAAAAAAAAAAAAAAAAAAAAAAAAAAAAAGCCAATGGGAGGATGCCAGTAAGGGAACGGATGAAGGGGGAGAAATGGTCTATCTTGTTTCTAAGACTCTCAATCTTTGTTTGCTAAATACATTGAGCGACATGCTCCCAATCCCATCTGTGAATAAGGTTAAGTACAAACTTGGAAAATGATGGCTAAATATTTTTTCCATTATTTAGCATCTGGTTTGGGCTTGTCTCTAGGACCATCTTGTGTGGGGGTGTGGGGAAGGTCAGGCATGGCTTTCTGTGTCATGGAGGTGTGGGGGTCGTGACCAAAATTGTCCAGATGGACCAAGTAAAGGAATCAGTCTGCTAGCTCTATGCATGGGTACGGAACACTTATGACCTGCTGCAGCTTTCAGAAGTGCGGGGGAAATGCCCTGCCTGTGCTAACTTGGGTGGGCTTAGAAACGAGAGAAGCTTTTGTTTAAGTAAGGGCTGCATTTCCTTTCTGGCTGTAGAAATGTTATCTGTATTCGTACACTCATCAACTGCGACCACTTACAAAAACCCTCAGAGCTACTCTTAGGATCTACTACAAACTTGCTCGCTGGAGCCTCTTTCCAAACTAGAGCCCTGCCCCCACCCCCCACCACATTTGCTTTCCAGCACACACCTGCCGGAAGTCATTTACATCTTTCCGCAGTCAAAGCCTCGGTGAGTGCATCTTCGAATTTGTTCCTTGATTTTTCTGAAGTTTTGCTTTTCCACAACCGGGCTCCAGATAATGTGTTCTGTGTGCCCTGTGCACACTTCCCCTCTCCTCCCCCACTCCTGCTCCAAAGCGGGATCTGGTGAAAGCATTAATGTTCACCGAGCCATTACTACGGGAATGGTGTGGTAGGTGGAAAAGTGCGAAAGAGATAAATGTTTACATAAAATCCAGTTGATTTAGGGAAACATGCGGCCTGGTGAAAGGCTTTATTCATTTTAAATTAGGACCCTAAACAGTTCTTTGGATGGAAAACACCCAATTTTGATTCTCTTGCTTGTCTGAGGACTGAGTTTGTAAACCTATACAGCAGACCCCTGCATACCAAGGATTTAGTGTTTGGTTCACAAAGGGGAAAGGAACAGTGGAAAGAGGAGTGAGGGGTAGGGGTGAGGAGGGGTGGAGAGATGTTATATTATTAAATATATAACTGCTAAGATGAATAACATTAGAAGGGCTGCTTTGGTTGTGTTTGCATGTGAATTTAAAAATTAATTAAAAGAAATTCGAGGGCTTACAAACATTGTCAAATCTCTCTCCAATATTTTACTGATGTCTTCTGACACACACACACACATACACACACACACACACACACCTTTTCCTAACCGCTTGGTGCAAAACTCTCCATGAGCCATATAGCCTCTATTAGCCACAGAGTAACTTGCAAGGAACAAATTCTCTCAGAATCCCCTGGGTCTCGATCCCTCCAAAAGCAGAGGGGCCTGGAGAATGTCAGCCCTCTCTATTCAGGAACAGAAAACCCAAAAGAATTCCAAGATTCAGACCAAATGGGCTGATTCTCCTCCGAACGGGAGTGGTTTGCACTTTTTCCAAACGACAGTGACTACATGAATATTGTAACTTAGCACACCGCAGCTTGCCAGCCTTCTGACTGCATTCCTAACACGTGAGCCCAAACAACCGCAGGGGCAGCCTTGCTTTTGGAGAAAGAGGTATGGAGAGTGATGTGGGGGTCAATGACTGAACTCCAGATCCTGACATTCCAACCCGATTCCTAGATCACCAAGGCAGTGTCATGTCCCAAAATGCTTTGCTACACTCTAACAAATACGTGCTGGGAGTGAGCCAGCCTTGACCATGTGACCAACCCCCCCCCTTTTTTTTTAGGTCTTAGTTTTTTCTACTGTTAAAGGAAACATTTAACTGGATTATTCCGGAGCGCACTGCAACACCAATATTCTATGATTGGAAAAACTCAGTAAAAGGCAGAAGTGAGAGCCTCCCAGAAAGAGCTACTTTGGGATAAGAACCTACTGATGACCAAAGGAAAAAAAAAAGTCATTAAAATCCATGTGAATAAATATATAGGTCAAGGTACACCCCTCTGACCCATAAGATTTTTGTTTGTTTGTTTGTTTGTTTGTTTGACTTACTTATTTATTTATCTCCCAAGGAAAGGGAAAGTGGATGAAGAAGATCACAACTCAGAGCCCTCTCTAGCCCTACCCCCTTGGGTATGATGAATGCCTAAGGCCTGGGCTGCACCAAGGCAGAGGAGATTAATTGCTGTGTCTCTAGGGTGGTTCTCCTCTTATCCTACAGAACACATTCTAAAACTCTCAAGGGGTGCCCATAACACTAATAACACCAAACCCTGTGCATATTCTGGGTCCTCCTATACGTATGACAGTTTATAAGTTTGGCACAGTTGGAAGCTAGCACTTCCTAATTCGTAAAATTCAACAACTAGAACAATGTGCCTTCATGAAATGTAAAAATACACAAGATGTTCATATCTGGAATTTTCCATTTCATCCTTTCTGGGCCATCATTGACCAGGGGTACTGAAACCTGGAAAAGTGAGGCCATAGAGAAGGAGGCACTATACTATGTCCTTGGCACACAAAGCATCATTGAAGTCTTCAAACAAAACAGCCCTCCCACTGAAGAGCCATCTCATGAGTAGGGGAAGGGAAGGCCTCAGTTATTTGAGAAAAGTGTCAGGGATCATCGTGGACATGAAATTGGAACCTGGTTCTCTCTGGCAACCAGCGCCATCTGGTGCTCTCTGTTCCCCACACTGTGATGCTCCCTGCTCCATCTCCTGAGTATATTTAAAAACAATGACATACCCATTTCAGGGGTCAAAACCATGATACATAAATTACATAAATAAAGCTTCCAAGTTTATCTCTCTAAAAGGTAGTCTAAGCAAGGAAGTGAAAAAAAAAGAATAAACAAATGAATGAGGTAATGAGGAAGCGATCTGGCTAATATACCCAAAAGCAAATACACCCAAGAAGAAAACATTAGGCCAAAGATGGCCACCAAAGAAAATGCCCTTGACACTGAAAACCACTTCTGGTTCTGGTTCTTGACTCATTTGATCAATGAGTGCGTTCTTGGTGCCATGAAAGATCACACACAGCAGTAAAGGTCTTGACCTTGTGAAGCACACAAACAAACCATTCAGGATGTGCTTGCCCCCGAGTCTCAAATGACTCTAGAAACTTCTAGATAGGAGTCTGAATAAGATCAATGCATACCACGTGGTATTCAAGAAAGGTGTCTTTCCCCTTCCAATCTGTAAGATATTGAAATATTCTGCATTGTTTAAGAACACAATGAAACTCTCAGATGTCTTAGATTTGTTCTGTTCAGTTACCCCGTCTTGAATAGAAACTGAATTTCAGACTAAATGTACAATAGACTTCAAAGCTAGTGTTCAATGGTGGAGGCAGCTGTACCACAAAATCGCAGGAAGGACTACTATTGGACATCCTTTTCAGGCTCTAGAGGTTGGGCTACCTATTTGAAGGTCGCAGCCAGTGTCCTGCCTCTAAGGGTTCATGGAAGAGATTGTTCAGTGTGTCTCCAACCTTAAAATCTACAATTTAACTCTTTCTTTAAATGCTTAATACAAAACCTAGTCAGTCAACCACCATAGGAGATCCAAGAAAAATAGTATATAGAAAGGAACACTGAAGAGATGTGTGCTAATAGCAGCTACCAATGCAAAGAACTCTGACCCCATGTAAAATGACTCCCTTTGAAGCTTTGCTCCTGACCCCTTTCAAACAAAATATCTAATCTCTTATG